TGCCCAATTGCAAAATTAATGAACTCTTTCACCCCATGAATATACTGTGTTTTTCCCCTAGTTTGCATATGAATCCAACTCTTATCCATCTCTAATCAAACCCAAAAAAGAAAGAAAAAAAGAAAGTAGTGGTGATTAGTCTAAATCTGGGTTTTATGGTCTTACATGTACATGTATGAAACTAGCCTAAAGCAAACAAAATTGGTTAGACAATAATGTGCATTACCCCTTTTTTTTTAAAACAATACAGGTCATGCTTACCAAAGAAGCAGAGCATGTTTTGAATGCTCTGTATCTCTGGTTTTGTATTTTGGATCATTAATTGGTAAGACATATTAAAAGCATACTACGTACAAGTAGCTTATTTAAATTCTACAAACCCCAATAGCATTTCAGATTACAATCAAGTAGAACACAACGCAATAGGAATAAGAGTAAAGAAAAAGTAAGAATGAAGATGAAAACCAATTAGGAATCAAACAGCCAGAGATCGAATATTTCTTACCAGAGAAGCTGATGGTCTCAAAAATTGATTTCAGAATAGGATCTCACTAGCCTCAAGGTCGTTTCTTAAAATCGAAACTTCAGCAACACAAATTAGGAAGTTAGGACATCAAGCTTTTTGGAATCACACCTCAGAATCGAAATTTAAAGAGAAATCAAAACTAAAATATGTGAAAAATATCATAACTATATAGTAGCCCCTGAAATTGGTTTAGACATACACGAAAAGTCCATAGCACATTGTTCATTAAAGTGAAGGCTAATAAAGAAACATAACTGGCACTTGAATATAAAAAGGCAACAACACTACAACACAGACCTAAGAATAACATGCTTTACTAGTTTAGGATAGCAGTAGATGTGTGAAACTATGAGGGATGCAATCGACCCGTAAAGCATGCACCTAAATCAATAGCTCAGAAATAAGAAATAATACTTCTTGTATGTTTAATTACTTGTCAAGTAGGACCCAGTTGGCTTCATTGTATCTTGCTTCAATGGATTGTGAAATTCAACACAATATATAACAGTCTAATCAGGACATGCATTGTTTATATCAGAACATGTCCACTGCAAATTGAAATTCACAAGCAGCAGTAGATAAATAAAAAAAAGAAGAAGGCAATAATCAGTACTAAAATCAAAATTGAACCTAAAATCAAGCTCTGCCTGAGTACCAAAAGAAAACCTAGCTGATTTAAGGACACAAAGTTTTGCTTAAAGCCTTTGTTTATCAAATCAAAGCTAGAGAACTAGGGAATTAGGGAATAGAGAATCAGACTCAGAGTCACAATCGTACTCAAATCAAACTCAAGTGAAATCAAAACTAACACTGAAAGCAAAGAGAAATAGAAAGCTCACATGATATTGGGAAAAAACTTAGAAATCAAAACGACAGAGACGAAGAGGATGACGCTCGTCGAAGAAGACGGTATCGCTCTCTCTGGTTTCGCTGGTCTCGCTATGAGCTCGCTCATCGAAGAAGACGATATCACTGGTCTCACTGGTCTTGCTCTGAGCTCGCTCGTCTTTTTTTTTTCCTTTTAGATGCTTTCGCTCTTCTCGCACACACGTGTTTTGAAGACAAAAATTAAAGTTTAAAAAAAGTTAATTGGTCATTGATGTATTAAATAACATAAGTAAGGCTAGCTTGGCACATGTGTTGGTCACTAACTTTATTATTTAAGTTGTTTTTAGTGACTAATTTAAATATTGGTCAGAAAATTTAGTCATTAAAAATTAAAAAATATGTCTTAATCAATTTACTGACTATGTAGTATTATTGGTCATTAAATTCACTGTATTTGTGACCATTATTAATGTGGTCACAAGGAAATTGGTCACTACTAACTTTTTTTCTTGTAGTGACATCAAGTTAATTTATTTTTTTTGGTACCAACTTCAAGTTGCAAGTTCCAGATTTGAAGCACAAGCACAAGCATCAATTTATCAGTATCTCGGTTTCAACTTTAGTTTTTGCCAAGGTATGATTACCAATCTCTTGGTTTTCAACTTTAGGTTTTTTTTTTTTTTTGGGTACCTACAATAGATGAATAGTTGTTTGTTCGGTTCATTTTTACACATGATTTTTCATGTTATTCACCCACTATTTTGAGTTAGTTCTTGACATTTTATAGCTTTTTACTTCCTTTTTGTGTTTTCTTAGATTTTGCCTTGGTTGGGATGAAAATGAGCTAAAAGTGCATTATTAGTTATAAATTCTGTTTTTGTTCATTTTCGTAGGTCAACTTCTTGGCCTGGGATCAACATGCTCTGGTGCTCGGATGAGGTCATGATCTTCATGAGACTTGTTCCAATGGATGTTAACTACAACATATCCAAATTTGAGCTCCATTGGACAAGTATTGCC